TCTAAGAGCAGTAGAGAAATTGCAGATTGTTCGGGACAAGTTCCAAGAATCGATAGATGGTAACACTGAATCTTTCTTACTGACCCTTTTTGTGACTGTGCAAGTTCTCACCCTAATTAAAAATCCTCTTTCTGGGATTGACACTGCTGTTTTTGCTCCTTTCGGGTATTAAGGTATTTTTTGTGCCTAAGTCCTTGTTAAAAGATGACTGAGGGTAATATGTAAACAAGGTTATTAATAAAAATTTTACTCTGCAATATTTTCTTGAAATACAATTTCAATTATATCAGTTTCTCTTTAGCAAAGATCCTTGCTTTCTTGATGAAATGACATCATAAAGGCTTTTTACTTATTTTCTAAAAACTGCTGACTTTAATTATAAAAAAATTTATTTTTTCTTAATTAATTCAAGGAACACGTATATGTTGTCAGTAACTCGGACGTAAGCATTACTGCAAAATTACTGGGTGTCCTCAAAGAGCATTTCAGATGTTAACATACTACCAAAAAGAGGGAGTTCTGAAGCTATAGCAATAGGTAAATGCTGGTGCTGGGTGCTGTTTAAAACACCCAGCTTACAGAAACGACTAGAAGGAAAATTTTCTTCATTGCACCAGACTGATGTGGCATTGAGGAGATTGAATACATCTTAATTTCATGGTTTTGGGCCCTCCCTCGTTGAAAACCGGAAGGAAACTTACTATTATGCTGATTGTATGTGCATTAGAGTCTTTTCCCGTAATCAATATTTTCCTTGATGCTTGTTATGGTACACAATACATATTTGTTCTCTGTATTTGCTTAGAGGCTTATTATGGAGTAATTTCAGTAATTTTTTCCATAGCTTTTGAGACCAGCAGAAAGGAGGCCAGAATATGCAAGCAAGAATTTGAACAGGTGAAAAAGAGGAGATACGAGCTTTTTAGCCAGTGTTTTGAGCATGCCTCCATAGCTATTGATCAGATCTACAAGAAACTTTGCAGAAACAGTAGTGCTCAGGTGTGTCATATTCTCAGGTACTTGGCTTAAAAAGCCTACTCCAAGTTTTGTTATCTATGGTTAGGAAAAACTTAGTAACGTTTTTAGTTTCCAAAGACGGTTTCAATCCTGAAGAAGAAATTTACACAAATAATGGAGACTTCAGTATTTTAGAACAGTCAGATGATGAATAGATAACATGCCAGATCACGTTTGACATGAGACAGAGTAATGTCATCTCAAGTGTTAACCAAATGGGGAACCTGATAGTTTGGGTTAGCTTTACTTTTTCACATTTAGCAGACTTGCAAATTACTATTACAGCTGTAAATGCGAAATATATTCAAGTACTTATTCTAAAAACAAAATGGCTTACAGGTCTAGTGATAGCAAGTAACTAAAAATCAATAAATCTAAAAATCATAATGAAATTATTATTTCAGTATTTCAGTGGTTTTGAGGTTTTAAAGGTTCTTATAACTCTATTAAAAAAATAAAAACAATGACTTAATATATCAGTAACTTTATTGTGTCACAATTGTATTAATCTCTGCTAGTCTTTCAGTATTAATGCCTAAAATAAAAGGAGAACTCCCAGATACTTTGGTCACATCAAATGCAGTAGATACTTAAATGTTTAAAGAGTTCAGGCTTGAACTCTCATCCTTATAATCTAAAGATTAAAGGATTAAAGATAAAATTTTATGTTATTCTTCAGAGTCAGATATTCAATGAACACCTTAAATATCTTTAAATGTATATTTTCGGCTTCTAGGTTGGACTAGTTAATAAAGCATTTCTGTCTTCAAAATTACTGGGTTCATACCTTCTCCCCTGGACTAAACATTAGGTAGATCTTGATTTTGGCGTCAATCTAGAAGAAGCTGGTCAGTATTTTCCAGATGCATTGCAAAAAATGAGCAGTTTGGTATGTTCTGAGGTCTGTTATATAATGCCTTGACCTAAGTAAGCCATAGTGGTAACCTGGCCGAGAGATTATGCTGCAATTAGCTGAGAGGATAAAACTTACAGGTACTAACATAGTAACTGAAGGAAACCAATCTGATTGCGCTGGGAAGCTAACTGATTGCTCTGTGTGCGGTGAGAGTGTTCACACTTTGCTCAGCTAAGGAAGGGTTAGCTTAGGCTAGGTGGTGGCTTGAACAGATACTCTTTAAGTAACTAACATTTTTAACATGAAAATAGGGAAGTTCTCATAGCTTGAGTTAGTTTCATTTCCAGAGATTCTTAACGCAGAGGACATTTGTGCACTGAATATATTGCTCAGTCAAATTTCTTTCTTCAGCACACTGTGTGTTAAGAAATACTTTCAAAGAAACTACTGCCTAAAAATGTACAGACACAGATGCACTGGTGGATTCTCCACCAGTTCTTTTCCATCATTCCTCTGTAGAAAAGATAAATGTTCCTTTCATGTCTTGAAGAGCAAGGAGCGTATGTACCCTAGTAATCTGGAAGATAATTTTTCTAAGTGATTTGCTAATAGTGTCCATACATCTGAAATTTTCCTCTTGCATAGGTATATGCAGTGACACAGAACTGGGAGTTTTGTGCTATCAGAAAAACATTTCTGACATGTTTACAGCCTGAAGAACATTGCAGTAGCAATGAAAGGCATTCTTAGCAGATAAAAAGAGGAAAATACGCATGCCTCCAACAAAAAGAGATGTTGCAAACACTACATTTTACCTCCAGAACTACTTACCACAGACGCATGTCTAAATCGAAGCACATAATTGTTTTTTTCTTTCTTTCACTTGACAGGAGCTGTTTGAAATGGACAGTCAACTATAGAAATTTTTCTTTTATCTGTAGCAACTTGTGCAGAGGGGACGAGATTGTATTAGATTGTTCTGTTTAATGGGAAAAATAAACCATGTACCGCTTAGTTGATCCATGCTACTTTTTAACAGATTGGTAAATAGCCATTCCTCTGAAGTAATACTTCTAATGTGGGTCATGGGAACCAGCATACAAAGCATACACGAAGGCTACATGTTTTGGAATCTTCCTCCAGATAGTATGAAATATAGTAGCAACTTAAAAGCTAGATTTTGTAAAATTGACCTTCCACAAAAAAGATAAATTTTACTGTTTTTAACTTACAAAAGTGAAAACTACTTTTTAAGTCTAAAGTTTAAAAAATTAAAAGTAATTACATGAAAGGTGACAAAATCGGGTTTCTTTGCTAATTACAAGGATGTTACTAACAGATACGTGAAGCTATTTCTAAAATGATTTTGCACTAATTAGCCTCCTGGATCATACTTCATTAGCAAGGGCAAACTCACTGGGAATTTTTATAGTGCTACTCTTCAGTATGGATGAACAAGTGTTTCCTACAAAGGACGCTAACCTCCAGTTTCAATACTCTCTTAGAATTTAAACCTAAAAACATCCATCATAATGATTTTATAAATGTCACTATTAATAATGAAATTATGCATTTCCAGGCATTCCTTAGTCCTGAAAATCCTGAGGAGCCTTATCTGGAAGGCATTGGCTTTAACTGTGTGGCTCCTGGAAAACGCTTTATGCCAATGGATAGTTTGTCAGGAGGTGAAAAATCTGTGGCAGCTCTGGCTCTTGTATTTGCTATACACAGGTAAGTAAAAGAGACGCTACAGGTAAAAGAGATGTTACAGTATCGTCTAAATGTATTGCTGTGCAAGTGGCAGAAAGACAAACGGTGTTGTATTTACAAACGTATTGAAAATCTGCTAATGCAATATCCAAACACTTAGTAAAAATCCTCTCTTCTTTCCCTCTAATTACTTTTCTTCTTTACAGAATTTATGACAAAGTGAATCTAAAAGTATTTGGACTGTTCATGAACATTAATATTTTTGCATCTATATGCAAAAATAATGCATTTTCTTTTACAGTTTTCGTCCAGCACCTTTTTTTATTTTAGACGAGATAGATGCTGCCCTGGATAACACAAACATTGATAAAGTAAGTTTATCGCTTTTACCTTATTGTTAATCTACAACAATATAATGGTATCTTTTTACAGATGGATGGTTGCTTTTTGTTACACATTGCTGGGATAAACAGAAAAAAGAGACTGATTACAGTCTTTTAGCCTATTTGAAAATACAGTAGATTTGCAACAGAAATAATTATTTTGAGGTACTTGATCAGCCTAGGTTTAAGTTCCTAATTCTGACTACAATCAGTCCCCAAATTGTAAAGTTGAGAAAATGTGTCAGGAGTGTGAAAGTACGCACCGTGAACGGATGCACTACAATCTGACATAAGGGTCGTCTGTGAATAGCTGATTGTTTGTTTGTTTTTTAAGCGCTCTGAGTTCCTGTACCTCTAAAAAGTAGAAAAGAATGTGTCTGGAATGTTGAAAATCAAGTCATTCTATCACTGAATTATTTCATTTGGCCTACTAAGTAATTTTATCTCCATTAACACCAGTTAAGGGCTATCACTCACTCCCACTTCTGTTTCATTAATTCTTGCTTGATGAAAAGAACTCTCTTCCCCAGTTTCTTTTTCCCTCTTTGGTAGTTAACTATTCACTGTAATGATAAAATTGATAGAATGGAATGCAAACAATAAAGATTGGCAACTGTTGATGTGAGTCTCTGAGAGGAGCTTCTAAAAGAGGTTGTATTTAGGAGAGGAATCAAAAAGATCTCCATGTTATCTGGATTCTTTTCTGTGCAAATACTCCTCTCCATAAAGTAAGAGGAAGCTGTGCTTCTAGTGAATTTAGTAGTGAGGTGAGTCTCGGCAGATCTTAACTCATTAAAGCAGTTTTATGAACAACAAATGAGATGTTTTTTCTAACAGTGTTCACTGTGTGAAGTACCAGGGTTTGCTTGGAGGGTACCTCTACAGTAGAGAGCTGAGGAAGGTGCCTTGTTTGTGCCTCCCAGATAGAATTCCTTCTCAGAGATTGCTGACCCCTAGCAGTTTTTTGAGAAGCTGAGGGCTCTAATGCCATATATGGCGGAAGAGCTGTCCACTTTACACCTGAGAAAATACTAAGCAGCATTCCTCTTCAGAATGCTATAAACAAAGAATAGCCTCAAATTTGTTATGCAACTTGGTTTCTTAATTAAAACCTATCATGAATCTGATCAATTTACCTCAGGTAAAAATCACAGTCATACCACGCTAACTTAAGTGTTTTCAAAAGACACTCTTATTAGCTCTTGCATTGTTGTTGACTGAACAGTTTCTAGGCTTGTAACTTTCAGTCTGTAATATTTTTATGGTTTGAGAGCATCATATTTCACTTGAAGCATCAGTAACAATAATGTATGTTTGTAAGATGTATATTCAAGAAAATACAGTACATCAACATAAGTGCTGGTCTAGTATGTACTTACAAAATTACATCCATTAATATTCTTCTGTGTCAAAGAGCTGTCAAACTCCAAGTATATTACTCGTTAGTGTTAACCCTGAAATTGCCTTAGGAGTCTGCATTGAGCTTTTAGTTCAGTTCTTGGCACCAGTCCAATCTGGCAGTTCCGCTGAGCTTCTTGTTATGAAGTTGAATTGGGCTTCTGCCTGTTTTGTAATCTTCACGGCTGAAGATGCCTCTATCTATTTATTACAGATTAAGCATAACGGATTAAGCATAGCCACTACCCAAAAATTCCTATTTATTTGACTTAGTGCCTTCTGCAGTTCTCTTCCTATCTTCTGCTCCCCTAATATAATTTATACTCCTTTATATGTACAATTTATAGTAAAAATATAAAATATAATAAAATGCTTCCAGTGAGGGGTTGGGGCAGGGGATGGGACTTGATTGCTAAAAGGGCTGCCTTTCTTACATGAGCAGCAAGGAGCATGAAACCTGTGATACGGCCTATGTTATTTCTAATATAGCTGGAGAATCGGCTTACATGACTCAGTTGGTGACAAATCAGTGATTTCCTAGGAAATTACTTAATTAGCTTGAACATTTGTCTAGGTCTTGTTAGGAGCTAGACTATTCTTTAAGCATGTATGCCAAATGTATTAAATTGCAGTATGAGCAAAATCAAAATGGCAATGCTCTGCAAGAAAAATTAACTTAATAATGTTTCCCTGCTCTTTCATATCTGTTTCCTTATCTGTAAGATGACCTATTACTGGAAAGCATCAAAATCTTCAGACAGAGGAATTAAACAGTGCAAGTGAGCAAAATGATATACTTGATATAATTTACCATTTGGAAATATATATTGCTAGTACTTGGTGGGATCCAGAGAATTTGATATGCTTAGAACTGAACAGTATTCTTTCCCTTTCTTCAGTTTAAGGATTTACTAAAGCAGTTTCCAACACTTTAATTACACCTTCTAAATTAACAGCTTAAATGAAAGTTAATTTTGTAACTGATTAAATGCATTACATGTACCAGATAAAACTGTACAGTCAAAAATCTTAACTTAAATACAAGTCTTTCTTTACTCAGCATTTAATTTCCATTGTGGGGTATTGTCTTATTTAGCCTCCAGTTTATAGCTGAATTTCTGTGTCTTTCATATTGCAGATCGATCAATAAAAAAAACGTTGCACTGCTTGCAGCAAAATAATGTATGTTTAACATCTTAATATATAACCAATAACAGCTATTTTCACTTTTCTTTTCTTACTCAGGAATTTTCACCTACCTTCCAAATCATATTAAGTAAAATATTTTTCATTGGCACTGACGTTTTTCTGTAACCTTATTCATTGGAGTGAATGATTGTTTTCATACAGATTTTTTAAAAGGGGCAAATCTGAGGGCTTGTGTTAAGAACATGCGAAGTAGCTGTCTTCTAGACTGTTTTATTTCGTAACTGAATTACTGAATTTTACTGCTAACGTAATCCAGTTCCTTCTGCATCATTCCCTAATTACAGTAATTATGGTATGGTTTAAGTCTGCCAGAACTAACTTACTGAAACATTTGGCTTTTCTACAAAGGTATCGAGTTTCATTAGAGACCAGGCACATGAACAGCTTCAAATGATAGTTATTTCTTTAAAGGAAGAGTTTTATTCCAAAGCAGACGCATTGATTGGAGTGTGTCCAGAGGTAACAAATTAATTTACTACTTAGAATGTTGTTAGATAACACAAACCGTTTTTTTGTTAAAGTATTGATTTGCGTCTTAGGAATTGCTACAGCTAATCATTATGTACATAACTGTGCTGTTGGATTTGAACCGCTTTATTTGTGTTCTGAAGTCATCACAAATAATGAGTTGGCTAGATCCCTTTGGCTGACTCAAGCTTATTATTTACTCTCATGGACAGTTATGAAATGCTTATTTCGAGTAACAAAAATGTCCTAAATTGTGTGATCCTTCTTCTCAGCATGATGACTATATGTTCAGTCGCGTACTGACTTTGGATCTTACTCTGTATCCAGACCTGGATGACCATGAAAGGAGAGAGAAAAACAAGCACAGTTCTGGATTGGAATAAAACATGGATGATTTCAGGGCCATGTGAAAATAGCAAGTCTGAGTTTGAATGTGGTATTAAAGATTGACAGAGAAATGTTTATCTTTCAAACAAAGCAGTTTTCTAAAATTCTGAAAGAACCGACTCGTATTCATTGCTACAATTTTGTTACAAATGAGAGCCAAAGCTTTTTAGACGTGCATATATTCTGATAAGTGAAGCCTTCTGTTCAACTGTTTCTTTATCTGAAGGCAAACAAACACAGGTTCACATAATACACGCTATTACAAGGAATTAGACTTCATGCATTTTTTTTTAGAAGGAAAAAAATAATTTGTTTAGCCATAGTTGCAGCATGTTGCCAACACATTTCAAAAATTCTCCTCTGTGGCAGCTGCAGATACTTCAGATAAGGTATTTCCTATTCTACAGGACAAGGTATTGCAGTCTCGCTGCTGTCGCACGTGATTTTGGGATGCTTAATACCACTGTAGTGCTCCACTGCAACCTCAGGAAAATATTAATTAGTTTTACCAAAGCTCATGACACTTCTTCCCCATAGGAGTGATATAACCTGGAAGAACTTCACCTTTAAAGTATTCTATCCCACACAAAAGTGGGAAGAACAAAACACGTGCGAGTCAGATGCTGTACAGGTAGCAACCTTGGAGTAAAGTATCTTATATTGGTTTGCAGCTGAGACTGTTCTACCACAGCTGTCCCAGTAGAGTCAGTTTTTGTTGTGATAACTGATACCTGTGCTTCCTCTAAGAAGCAAAGATAACAAAGCTGGTTAAGAATGTTGTTTCAGAGAGCTAATCTTGCCTGTGCTTCACTTTGGTATACGTTAATGAGTTTTAGGGGTGTTTTGCTTCTTTCATGTTTGTTTAAACAATTGCATTATATTCACATACTAGCTTCCTTTACAGCACCGGACTTAAGCTTATCCCTTGTAATGTGTTCATCTTACTGTGCTTGTTGTACCCAACTGAATGACACTGGACATCTGGTGCTACTGCATAAGCAAGTAATTTCATATGTGAACAGTAGATAAAATATTCCCGAAGGAACAAGTTAATAACATAAACATCTCCACTTAACAATAGATGAATGTTTATTAAATGCTAATGTTGCTGCCACACTTCTTTAAATAAAGTTACTTACTCTGAACATGCATCATGACTTAGTATCGGTCCCTTACCTCAGCATCCACTGACAGAGGTGGAAACGTGTATATTAGTGTGACGGATGAATAAAGAACAGCCTCTAGCATTTTCCACAGAGATCTTGATCCATGCCAGCCTGTTTATTATGAGTATAGTTCTATTTTTGTTTTGTTTTTTAAGCCACTCACTCACTAAGAATACCCAGCTGAAATAGAAAAATACGGTAAAGAATAGTCTGTAAAGAAAAGTAAGAGGTACATATTAACTGGTATACAAAAACAGCCCGCTTGGATTTAAATATTTTATTAAGATAGTGTAGACACCCTGCCAACTTAATTTCACAGCTTGAACAAAATGTGACAATGGTCAACAGGACTGTGTTCAGTAACTATCTTACTCCCATTTAAAAATAGTTCTACTGTAGATTTATTTTAATTCATGCCTAACAAATATGTCACTTATAATCTCTAGTTGTACGGTTAATTCTTTCACCTTATTCAGGTAACAATTTGAACAGAGCCTTAAACAAGTCACTTTTTCATTTAACACGAATCAAAGGGAACAGCTGAGTTTCAGATTCTGTCCCTTTTGATTATATTTTAATCCCTGAGGTAGCTGCAAGGCAATGCTGTTCATAAGATGGCTGAAATGTACGTAGAAGATAGCAATTCCTTGACTGGAGGTTGAGGGGCCCAGAGGAGGAATTTCTGTGTACTCCTTAGTGTAGGTTATGAATAAAAACAAATTGATTACTCATCTGCTTTTCAGAGTGCAAAAACATGGCACTTCGGTTAGGAAAGGCTCTTGTACAAGTTGCAGTTCAGCAGTGTTTACAAAACTGAAGAACCCCCCCAGTGCTAGATATAAGCTGATCCTAAGGACCAAAGGGCAGGGATGAGATTTTCCTAATGTAAATCCAATCCCAGGCATACGATAGATAAAGTGCTACATGACTTTAGGAAAGGGCTCAAACAATTGCAATAATCAGGGTCATAAAAAAGGACAATATAATAGCAAAATCCATCAGATGAACGGAGCTGCAGTTTACGTCAACTTACATTTTTCTAAGTGGATACATCAGCGTCAAAAACAGCAACTTCACTTAACACTTACTAAAATACCCAATTTAGGCTGACTAGAAAAGCAAATTTTACAGGCTAGAATCTTGCAGGTAATGCTGTACTCAATGCTAACAGATTTAATCTTTAAAAGAAGTGATGTAAGGCATAAATACAGTTTCTCAAAAGGAGGATAGGAGTATGCCTACATACAGTCTCATTTGCTTTTGCTTTTTAACTTCATAAAACACAGCCAAACCCTCAAGACCTGATGCTGAGCTCCTCAGCAGCTCTGTCATACACTAAAGTCCAAGTATGGACTGTCGATCCTGAAAGACACCTGGAGTATTCTGAGACAGAAGAGTCAGTGAACATGCACTGTTTAGACTGCTTAGCTAGAGGCAAAGTATCTTCAGAACTTTGCCTACTTCAGGACAGCAACAAAGGCTTCCCACCCTACAAAGAAAGACATCTAACTATCTCAGTTGTAATCAGTCTGGAAAGAAGCCTTCACTTCATCGTCAGGCATTTCATTTTGCGTGCATACATACTGGTGAACAAGCAGAAATTGCTTCTGTGGCATGGGAGTGAAGAGTTCACATACCTGCTGGAAGTCTGGCAGAAAGGTCATTTGACAGCTCTAGCACGTCCTCTCCATGCAAAACCTCATTTAATCAGTGTGATCTCAGAAGGCACACCAAACAGATCAAGTCTACAGGGGATGGAATTAGAGAAGCCTGACTGGGGCAGCCTCCAGAACCTTCAGGTATGAACATGCCAGTATCAGAACAGGAAGGGCCCTGGACATGCTCTCCTGCAGACACTATGGTGAGAGGCAGCTGATAAGAAAACTTCAGAGGATCTCAGGTGTTGGTGTTAGCCACTGGAGCAGTAAGTCAGTCTGTCAGGGTAGTGCTGACATTAATTCAGTGGTAGGTGAAGTAACTACCTTGGAGAAACGCTTATCAGGGTGACTAAGCATTTGAGAAGTTGCATTGAAGTCAAACTTTCACACTAGAAATCATCTACAGATGCATAATTAGATACTAACCTGCTTTAATTCTGCTGCATTAAAGCTATTCAGTACCTGCGCTTTCTGGGATGTTGGCAGCATATCCTACAGTTCAAACACTAGGACATGTCCATACAACTAAACAGCAAATAGGTCAGTAAGTCCCAATGCACATGCTGTATGTCTTTGTTTGGTATTCTTCCATTACATCCTTTTCTCCCCCACGTGATCTCATGTTTAAACAAACTGACAGATGAAAGTGTATACTTCTGCTACAAGCATAAATACAAGCACGTTATTGTGAAGTGGGTTCAATAAACATACATAGAAAAACAATTCCTAACACCTTATAGTTCTAGATCTAAATCTTGCAAACAGCTTGTGCTGACAGACCCCTGAAGATTTTAACTTCCAGCAGCCTAAATGCAGTACAGCAGAGATTCAGCTGAAGAACATTTTAAAAGCCACTAACAGATAACTTCAGGTATGCCAACAGTCATGTCCTGTGGGACTTCAAAGCACCCTACCCAAACTAAAGCCTTGATTCAAGCTCAGTGCTATTCTAACAGTCTCAGGACTTCCAACTGGCTTGAAGCACAGGCAGATAAAACTTGCATCTGCTTCTAAATAACTCGGCACATACAGTTTTAGTAGTATGGAACTGTCTATAGAGAACAACTAGTATGCCTCTCAAACTTGACGTGCGTTCCCCGTTTACATCCCTAGATAAGAAAATGCTAAGATAAGCAATTTTTGATCCACTTAAAAACATGGAAATATCTCAAAACTTCCCATGCTCATGTAAAACATCTGCTTTCAAAAAGTTTTTGTGTTTTTTCATTAAACAGTGGGTATACCATTATCTGATTGCTTGATTCTCTTAGGAGGATCAGTGCCATTTTCTCCTAACTTCCTTTTAGCACAGTCCATACACGAAGTTCCTGTGGAAGGAGAGGAAAAAAAGTTGTATGTAGCAACATTAAAATATTTCTTTCACATGTGTTTTGTGTACTTCTTATTACAAGCATCCGATACTAAAACACCATGCTGTTGCACTGAAGTTCTTGTATTTGGATTCTGAATTTCTACACGAACCTCTACTGAAAGTCTGTGCCCTTAGCTCAATGATCTCAAACTTCTCCCAACACTGAGTTCTAGGACTAATATATAAAACAGGAAGTAGTTATTTTTACAGCTGCCTTTTGAAGAAAACTAGAAGGAAATGATTTTTACTTTTGTGTGATAGTGCCTGTCAAGTTCACAAGTGAGATATTTCATTAAAGAGTCTGGGTCCCTTATTCAGGGGACCAGAATTCCTGGTACAAACTACTACTGAAATAGAAACAGCAAAATAGTAAAAATGAATGAAAAGGAAATGCCTTTAAAATCAGGATGTCCATCACCTAAAAAATCCACATTTGGGGGCAGGGGAGTATTATGCAAATCTGCACTAAGGAATCATTCTAATTTTTTTCGTTTTTACGTATTCCAAAATACAAGTAAAATAGGTGCTAAGCCTACTTTTAAGGAAGGTATTATTGGATAAGTTAGTAAAGGAGTTGTATATTACATGGAATTGGACCAAGCTGTTCTTGTTCTTCAATGATACCCAACTATACTTCACTGAAAAAGGGATTAGAGACTCCTCTGAGAGAGAGAGAGACACTTAACATCTAAATGGAATACAAAAGTAATTTTGGAATTTACACCTGCCCATAAGTCTCAGCCCTTTTTTTTTTTTTTTTTTAAAGTGTTTCTTCAAAAAGTGAAATTTTGCTACTTTAGCAAGTATCACAAGGACAACTAAACAATGCTTTACAAAAAAACTCATCCTCAGTACTATGTGCTTAAATTTGGCATTCATTTTTCTACACCTTCGTAAGGAAAAATATTCAAAATAGCCATATATGTTTGGGAGTTTAAGGTAATATAAGTGTCCATTACTTTTTTTTTTTTAGATTAAAAAATGATTCATGCTGATCAGGTTAATGCACATTTGCTGGAGCTCTTCCATTATGTCATTTATTATTTTACTGACAGCTGAAAGCCCCCAGTTATCTGTTAATACGTAGAAAGAAATGAGAAAGTAAATAAAGAGTCTGCTAAGCATATTGTCACAGTCAAGTCAGGGTTCTGCATAATAATCATTTAATTACTCTGTAAAATAAAAGACATTTTAATGTCCTTGCTAGAGATTACAAAGCTTTTCTAAGAAAATATTTATGTGGTTTACCCAACAGTGTTGTGCTGTCCACTCGATCAGCATCTAGAGAGGGTGAGAGACAGGAACAGCAGAGTTAGCATCCGAAAGTTAGATTGTACCTTTTTGTAAGTCCCCAGAACAGCAAGGTTGTACTTCTTTGAAATAACCCTTTTGACAAACTTCTTGTACTGCTTTTTTTACAAGAGAGTTTTCTCTACTATTAAACCTAGTGAACTACTCTGTGCAAGAAAGCAAGCAAACTAATGCAAAGCACTATCCAGAAATTCAGTGTTCAGCTTGCTTTCAAGAACAGCCAGGCAATTTACTCTTGTATTTAGCAGACAAAAGGCAGAGTGGCATTGCAGACTAACATCGTCTAAAGGAACCTGAAAACAAAATTTTCAGCAGTCTGTCGAGAAGGATTGAGACACATGAAGCTTAAATTCACAATGCTCTCTTATACCTCGTTAGTTTGTAAATAAGCTCTAGCCTGAAAATAGAATTACTGAAGAAGTGTTTTTACAGACAGTAAGAAATCACTGAAAGTTTCTGAGTAGGAAAAAAACAAGGATTAAAAAACATTCCTCGCAGGTAAGTCCAGAGACACTTGCTGTTACAAAACATAAGGAAACATGAAAAAGTGAAACCTGGCAGCTGGGTAACTAAAGGGCAGCTGTCCAGTTTTGTTGGGCTCTTGACTTTTGAATGAGATCAAGAAGATTTTGAACTCAGAGTACTAAGTCCCTCTTCTTCCAAGTATTATGCCAGTGAGTAATCCCACTGAATGAAAAAGAGTGATTGTACATTGGTAGCACTATAGCATGATCTTGCAGTCACTTCCAGTAATAATATTGCTTTTTATTTTGTATTTAGAGGTTAATTCAATATATCTTCCATGCTGTTTTGAGATCAATGGCTGCTCTGCAGTAAAACGGATACTCCAAATTCAATAGGTTCTAGACCTAGTGCATCCATCAACAGCAGTATGACAAAGGCCAAACTAGCAGGCTGAGGTTGACTGTTTCAGTGTTTGGTATTGCAACCCAACTTATTTTTAGGTGTCTGAATGGCAGACAAGCTTTCCGCAACCTAGACACTCTGCTAGGTTCTTATAGCCTTCATTAACAAAAAAAAAACCTCTTCATCTGGTCTAAATGTAGTTTTAATCCATTTACAGAAATCATTGCATAATTCGGGCACTCACCTGCAATCTTCCTTTGTGGGAGGGCAAGGGGAAGGTTCTTCCTATGCACCACTTTGGAAGAATTTTAGTCAAAACAATGTCACTGACCTTGTAGATCAAGAAGTGCTGTGAAATAATATTCTTCCCAAAATAATTTTCTCTTTATTTTCCTCAACTCTGTGGATAGCCCACAGTAGAACTGTCCTTGCTGGGAGAGCATTAAAAAAAATCTCCCTCCTTTCAGCATACAGTTGTCATTTTTCCCCATTTTTTTGTATAAAAACTCTTTACTGTTACTCCTAAGAGGTTTTATGAGTTAAGAGACCACAGGATGCAAGAAGAAAAAAAAAAAAAAGTGAATGAAGAGATGTAGTTGGTAAAATTTAGTTCCCTGTCAGGGCAGAACTGTTACCTACAGCATACATATGGAGTTATTTCCCATTCTAATACCAACTGCCATGTACAGAATGGCATTCACTCTCACAAAAAAAAGATTCCACAGCCTCTTCTATTTTATTGTCAGAAAGCGGTATTCTCACGCTCAGTTTTTATCCCCATTAGTCCTGTGTAAAGCTAAATGCTATTGGGTGTACTGTTTACGTCCTTGAAGATTTTCAGATTTCATTCTCCCACTCTATGCTTAATCACATTATAAATATTTTGGTTCACTCAGCTGATCCCATGAGTTAATTCCTTTGGTTCTTCCAGCCTCTTACTGACATCTCACATTTCACATAAGGTAATACCCAATACTGAATGGAGTAGTCCAGACAAAAAAAACATAAACAAACTTCTTATCCAAATACTAACCATAAAAAGACAGATTCAGAATTAAAGGTTAAATCTGCAAGAATTTAGGATTTTAAAGAAAGCAATCCAGTTGCAGTTTTGCCAGGTGCTCCAACTCTGCGTGCCATTCCTAAGCAGAGATCTTGCACAGGTCTACCACTAGCTACAAAGGGGGTGAACACCTCAGGCCAACTGCTGATTGTTCACATACGGAATCCTGCTACGTACATAATCCAAATTTTCTAATTTAAAAGAATACATTACCTGGGCTTCTCTGCTTGCAGATTTGAGCGGTCAGATCTTGTACATATTCTGGAAATTGTTTAAAGCTGTCCCCATAAGACACTACTTTTATTCCATGCAGAAGCATATCTGCCTGGAGCTTAAAGAAGTGGTCTTCATTTTCTTTCAGCAGCAACATATAGTGTTCTAAATCCACTTTATTCTTTACAGTATAAAGAAAAAGAGCTTGGAATATCTGATCACGCAGAGTCTCTCCACAGCCCAAAAACAAAAAAGACTTGGTTCGATACAGATTTTGAAGAACCTCCTGTTAAATTTAAACACAGGAGAGAATAACATAAACTGTATTTACTTCAGTAACCAAAAGGCAAAAATGGTAACTTTTGAAATATGTCCAGCTTTTTTAAAAACAAGAACAGAGCAACCATCAATATTAAATTGAATTAAGGATTTGTTACAATCAAGACAAACTGATGTGTCGTAACTAATGATTCCACAAAAATGTGTCTATTCTAAATAAAAGTCACAATCCAAGATTAAGTAAATATGTACATTTTTCCAGTAAGGGCATTTTACATAGAAAGAGTAATAATGACAGAATATTACACTCCTGTTAGGTTGATCTGTAAGTAAGGAAAATTAATACTCTTGATCAAATGTTTGACTTTTGAAAATACATAAGACATGATGTTAAGTCCAGGATCCAGAGTTGCTAACAACTTAAGCCTTTGAAAAAAATGCCTCCAAGCCATCAGGTGGTGAAGAATCCTTGTACTAGCCTCAGTTAACTAACAAAGTGAACTGCTGAACAGAATTTGGATACGCATTTTTAATCCACGTTGAACTTGAAATGCTGTGTGGCGGGCAATATTCTTATCTTGAGATAATACAAAGAACTTCAAAACTATGACATACAACTGGGAATTTTGATTGCGATTTGCCAAGAAACAGTTTGCAAGGGCATACAGTGCCCCAGCAACATAACTGGCTTCCTGAGTAATACTGCCACTTCATCTGGGTCCCTATTATTTACTCTGCATGATCTGACAAGACCCTAGCCTAAAGTAATATATATGCAGTGACTAAAAGAAAACAATTTGGCAAAGCATAGTAGAAATTTAAAGATCACACAAACCATTACTTCAGGATCTTGAGTAACATCTTTATATCCTGAAGGATCTAGGACCATTCCACAGGGATCTGTGTACAAGCCATGAATATGCAGAACTCCATATTTTATATGGCCTCTCGCCCACTGAAGAACCTAAAGCAAATCATGCATATTTCATTATACACTACTGAGATATTGCAAAAATATACAGCTGCCCTAACACATAAGACCACCTAAAGCAAAAGTGACTTCTCTTAAACTTTTCTGCAGCAAGAGACAATTATAATTACTACTTGCAGAACTTATTTTACATTATTATAAAAAAGAGGCAATCGTTGATATTGAAGATATTTGGGGGGGTTGGTCTAAACAAGTGTTTACACAAAAAGCAAGGTCTAGCAAAGCTTACAGAAAAGATATGAACAGCAAACTAATTAAATTACCTGCTAGATTAAGTCACATTTGTGATTGGAACAATTACTTCATCTAAGTGAAACTGTTCCCCCCTCCCCGCCCCCAGGAGGCAAGGGGAGCGGTTAATAAATGTGTTACTGAAATCTTTGATAAACTGTATCAGATAATTCAGAATAAACAGACACCGAAATATCATCTATCTGCTATTTCTTTATAAGCACGCTTTACAAATTAAGAAGTGTTGACAGTTTTCTTTAAACAGAGAAAAATTTTCCAGTGAAGTACAACAACCACCTTCTGAGAAGTCTGAACATTTTTACTACTCTCATCATACCTTATCCTTATCTTTCAAGTCTAAAGATTCCATAGGTTTACCCTGTTGCTGACCAAATATTTCAAGTAAATTATCATAGTTTGTAGTTAGGACCATTGTGCCTCTCTCCATTAATCTCAGAATTGACTGCAGAACAACAGGATTCTGAATATGTTGCTCTAAATTATCAAACACCTCCATTAAGCAGTCCTGGAAGAAATTGGGCTTGGTATCACCAGTACGCTGAAGAAAGAAAAGAGACAAACACTTCATAAGGCTCATAAGCACCACTGTAATTGCCTTCAATGGAAAACCCACAGCATTTGCCTATTTAGTGCCAAAGCATTTCTTTTAAAGGTGAGTTGTGTAACAGTTTTTGAGAGCTCACATAGTACATAAAACGTAGAAGTCTGAATACATAAAAATATTAACAATAATTTCAAATTATTCAAGTGCTCTTGCCTCCAATTTATACAGCTCAAAATAATATTGTCTAGTTTTCTGAAGAAAGCTTGTAGCACAGGTACAATGAAGCAAATCTCTGCAGTATTTTGCTACACTAAAATCCCTCCCCCCCCATTCACTTCTATACAAACATTAAGGTACACTTGCCTAAGGCTACATTTACCCAGGGTATCTACTGAAATAGACAGGAACACATAACAATTTACAAAATGTATAAGCTTCCTATTCATCAAATTGTTTTACGCGTACAAGAAATCTGTTTACAAGCCCAATATGGTTACTAGTATAACTCCATGGAAATAGCACTCTTCTCAATATGCTTCTCTTGTTTTGAAAGTAGTTAGCGTGCTAACATTATCACTCCCTAGTTTCAGAGTCTGGAATATTACTACCAGAGATTTTTCTTCTTCTTTTGCTCTCCGAGAGATCAAAAAGTTTCTTATCTTTCTATCTCCTGCAGACTTCTCCCAAAAGGGACACGTTATGATACTTTTTCTGTATAGAAAACTCCTATGTATTTCAAAGGGCTGAACACATCCTACAGCTTAGCAATGTGTATGTTGCTATAATTATTTCAACGGGAAGACCTGACAAAACTATTAATACAGTCTGAAAATCTCTGGAACCTAAAAATCAATGGTTGAGAGACTGAGCATGTATGGACTTCAGTGAAGCACGAGTTGGGGCAGTGATAAGTTTGTGCGATCTAAGGCTATCAGTAGGGTCACAGTCTACCACTGTTTTCAGGATATCTCTAGTTTTAGCCAGCAGAGCTATAAATTCCTCTTTCAGTTCAGGGCAACGTTACTGAGAATCTTTTAACAGTCAAGACGCTTGCTTGCATTTATTATGACAGAAGTGTAATCTTTTCCAACAATTTTCAACTAGACTAGAAAGCATATATTGAGTAAATAATAACTTTTATAGCAGTAATACAGAGACAGTACTTCCAGTTTGGCAATATACTAGAAGGTAAAATATATCTTTTACCTATACTTACATAGGCATGTATACCTTTTACCTGTATTTTACCTTGAAGTTGCAAAATTTACCTACAAAGATCATCTCAATCACCCTAAATTTTACCCCGACAAAATTCAGTTATGAGTCCTGATGTCACTAGTAAACAGTACCAGACCGGACTGCTGGAGTAAATAAATTAAAATGTGCTATTTTAAGTGTTTAATTAAATAATAGTTCTTTTTAAAGATAATGTACCTTATAAATTAACGTCCTGATTTCTCTCCCTTCTAAAGGGCTATTCTGTCCTATAACAACCACCATCGCACTGGCGAAAGCACTAACTGTAAATCACCATGTGAAAATGGACTGTGCTTACTTGTAGTAAAAACAAGGATTTTTCTGCCTCTCCAAAACGTACAGTGATTACATTATCGTCCCAGCAAAACTTTCAGTTTCAGAAAGCTGACGAGAATTTCAGTTGATAACAAGGAAAACTTACATCAACTTCTAAAATTGTTGTAAGTTACAAATATACTCACTGGTGACATTTTCCTGATCAGATCATGCGCAACTACAAGCAGGTCTCTATCTTTGATCACTTTTTTACGAAATTCAGCAACATCTCCTGGATGAAGCACCTCCAGCTGTTCAGCTGCTTCAATGACAGCCTCGATGCAGCTCCTCCAGGAGCACAGTGCTGGGATTCCTGGTGCTACCGCAGCACTTACTCCAGTTCCAATTACCAGAAGAAGATCTCGAGGTTGCTTTCTTATTAGACTTTTTAAGAATTTTCTTAAAAACAAAACAAAAATCTTTATTTTCTACAGTGCTTCTATCTTTTCTGAAGATCTCATGCCTAACTCAAGAAGGCTGTATGAACTATTAATGCTTGTTCAAAACTAAAGAGGCAAAGTAATTGGGTCTTCCATTTCCATACAGAAGAATTATGGCATTAGCAGCAGTTCATAACATTCCCCAAACTGGGGAAAATAAAATAAAATAAAATAAATGTACCTTAAATCTGCTGGCCATTTTAAACAAGTTAATGTGCATATAACTAATTTAAGTAGATATAAGATGACAACAACTTTAAATCATTAAAACCTCTACGGAGATCCAAATTGGCAATCGCCAATTATCAGTATACTCTGCTATTCAACAACCATTTCAATTGAACTTTAAAAAAAAAAAAAAAGTAGTATATCCTTGTACCAAGGATTACCCAATGATTTACTAAATATGCACGTGCTAGAAAATAAAAACTATTTCAAAGGGAAAACCTGCAAGATTTCAAAGAAGCAAATTTGTGTTTATTTAGAAAAAAGTAACATCTTTTATTCCCATTTATTCTTGCTATAGGATAGAAAGTGAAAAATACATAATAACTGTATATAAACAAAGTATTACTAAACGGAACCTTAGAATTCACTTGACTTTCCAAAATTACCAACTGTTAACTCTTGTTAATCCAGCAATATGGATGTTTTAAATCTCTTATTTCACAATATCTTGAGACGATTTTGCAAAAACTGAAATGTTTAACTTGAAATGGCTTCAGACACAGCAATTAAGAAACATGTAGATAAGGTTGCTAATACCTACAAAGAAATGTTGCAGATAATCCCCCATGTCTTCCTGCTACACTCAGCACAAGTTGTTTCCTCTAGGAAAGCATTCAGAAACAGTTCAACTGCGTATGAAGCACATGGTCACTGGAGAAACTAGTTTCAGAGGACCCTTTCAGGTTTTCAAGCATGATGCCATTCTCATATCCAATTTTCAGTAACGTATTTCAATTATCTTTTCAGACTTCCATTAACAGATAGTTTTATAAGATAACTTTCACAACACTGCTTACCTGGATTTTTGTTCACTTCTAATCGTTGATCTTTCTGATGAATCCATCTCTGAGCCCTAAACAAAATAAGGATGGTCAAGAATTCTTAATACATCTACCTTAAAAAAGGCCAAAATTAAAAACAGATGTACTTATTGCTGTCAGCATTTTCAATTTATTCTTATCAAATATTTTAAAATCAAGAATTTAGAATTTGTATCTCTCATCTCATATGTTAAGCAACACACTAATAGAAATGAAGCAGACAAATTATGAGCGTGTAAACGAGCACAGCTCCATTTAGTTCAGTCAACTGCCATTTTGAAGCTAGTGGAGATACGGCTATTCACACAGCTGAAAAATATCTGTGTCTAAATTCAAGACTAAACTTACCATACTCCCAAAAATGTTGATTCATTTTGGTTAAATGAATTTGTTTCTTAAAAAACTGTTTACAGCAGGTAAGTCTTCCATTATCAGAAAATCATTTCATCCCCTAAAGATCAATGATGGAATATTCATGTCTTTGTATCAAAAATTCCTACTGAACATTTCTACTCATTTTAACTAAGACCACTGAACCCACACAGCTGTATAATCGGTTGGTTCAATCAAGTTTGTGGACTTCTGTAGCCATGAGAAGCCCCCTGCTAGCTAGCTAGTTATTTCACCAGCCCATATAAATATAGAAGATGCTTTGTCAGAAAGAATTTTAAATAAAAACTTATTTATCAGCTATATTGTCACTTGAAATGACACCTAGTCCAGTTAAGATCTGACATCTTTTCTGAGTTTGTATTCTTTTTTAAATCTTACTTCTGTAACGTGTATACATCATTACTGTTTGCAAACAGCTAGCCCTGTAAATTTCCAAAATGGAAACAACAAAATGCCATGAATTCATTCATCTTTCTCGCAATTTCAGCAGATTCTGACACATGAAGCAGAAAGCTGTACTCTTTAGACAGCATATACCAAAGAAAGAACAAAAAGAAAGAAGGATTATACATTGAAAAATCTTAGAGATCTTACAAATTTTTGTAGGGGAGTACTACAGGACCCCGCTGTACCAGTAAGTTTGCATGACTATAGCTGAATCTCTCCTACTTACTGTTTGTTAAAGAGATCAAAAACATTTACATTCTTGAGAGAGAAAAATATCTGTTCTTCCCCTAAAACATACTGACATATAAAATGTTATGTTTAACATTTCATTAAAGAAAAAAATTTCCCTCTACAAAACCAATTTTACCCAGGATTCTAAACCAAACCCACTCTGGGATGTCAGACGCTTTCAGAACAGTATCTACATATACAGATTTTAGAGCATTTTGTGTTCTGAAGAAAAACGTGGTTTAGCCTAAAACAACTACTCTGTTTTTACCGCAGTAAACTATGCTGCAAAATTCCAAATACTCTTAATATTACAGACATGATGGGAACAGAAAAAAAACCTACTTCTTTCCAAAAGATAAACTGATATCATTTAGTGCTTATGTAAAAGAAGACTAATTAAAAATATAAAGCCAATTAACAACTCCTATTTAAATAGTATAGCTAGTTTACACATGCGCTAAAAATATTAAGACAGAAGACTAAGACTCTCCTTGCAAAACCCTCTTTTATCATCATCTTATCATTTTGTATGCTTTATTCATGTTAACAGTCCCAGCAGAAACAAATAATGAATAAGGATCTGCAATCAATTCTCTTTAAATCACAGAAATTAAAGGAAATTTCATAATTCTGTCCTGCAGTTCATCTCAACTCTAGGTACACTTAGAAAGCAGAACAAGTCTGAACTATTTACTCACTTAATAAATAAAAAAAAAAAAAAAGGCATGGTTAAAATGAAGAAATACTCAGCTATGCACTGTAAATCCAGAATTAAGACTCTCTGGAGTTATTCTAGGTTTTCAACTGGTATCGTCAACATTACAATTGTGTTTGTTACTTCATCAGGTCCATCAAACCACAGAAACATTTACCCTGGGCTTCATGTTGAAAAAATGATATATTAAATATATAAAAACAGAAAGATGGTACCTAAATAATCAAAAATCGATCTCATTCATTTACACAGGTAATCCTGGACTTTCATCTCACCATCCTGAAATCCATACTGTACCAATCTTTTATTGGCTTTTATTTTGTCTCTGTTCTGTATGGATTAGTGAGCTGCTATAAAACTCCTCCTTCCTGCACGAAGCTCCTTCATTGGGATAAGATCCAAAACACCATCCTGCTATAACAACCTCACAGTGTAAGAAGCTTTCTTTTAGGTCTGTCTCCCTCCAACAATCCTCTCAAGCCAATTTAAATCTAAAACATTCGAAGTACTGCATCCTGGCAAGAGAATTTGGCTACAATATGACCAATAAGAAATCCCCAAGTTTCATTACATTGATTCTTCGTTTTGTTTTTCATAAGGATGCTTTTTTTGTTTGGCTTTGAAACGCATCGTAGTTTGTGGTTGTGGAGACTGCAGATCCTAATCCTCCCAACAAGCATTCTGCTAGACTCCATGGCTCATACAGCTTCTTGCCAGCTCTCAGGTTGACATGCTGAAAGCTAATTTGGAAGCAACAGGCCTAAATTTGGAGAACATCTGACAAAATAACTTATTTTAAATGGACATGTCTGAGAAAACGCACAAAGATCTGATCTGCAAATGCACCCAAAAACGTCTTTTCAAGTGGAAAAAAATCATTTCTTGTTGTAATATTTATTTTGTTTGTGCTCCCTTCCTTCTTTAACTTATCCTATAAAAATACTCTATTAATCATCCAAAGAATGTTAGCATATTCAAAATTTAAAACAATAACTTATTTAGAGTGAAACATTCAAAAAATCTAGAAAATAAGATTTTTTTAGCATATGGAAGAATTGAAAGTTCACAATGCAAAAGCAACACATGAAGTGTATCTTGTTTATTCTGAAAAATATTTTCTGAAAAATATCCATCCAGTGATATATATAATAATCCTCAAGAGAGCTAACCACTTTAGTAATCGTTTGATACATCAGTAACTTGCCAAAATTAATAAAATAAGCATCTCATCACAGGATGCTGTCAGTACCAACATTTTAGACCTTATCATCTCTATAATGCTTGAAGTCACTTTCCAGGAAGCCAAAGCTGTGCGAATATGTGGCAGTAACTACCACCAAACTACATTAGCTAAATGGATGCAAATGGCAAACTTAAGATTTCTCCATGCCTATGACTGTTCTAGATATTAACTGTAACACTGAACATTGAACATCACCTAATTAGACGTAATAAACTTCTTCTGAGCATACCTACCAATGCCAAGGACCCAGGCATTAGGATTCAATAGTGGTTTCCTTAAAAATTACATCGGACTAACATATTATTATAATTTAACCAAAGGGTGGCATGTTTGCTTTTAAACAACCTTTCCTCATGGCAGTCAGGAGATCAGATTCCGCCAACATCCAGATTTGCCTGAAAATGCTGAACTGGAACTTGGTCTGTGTTACAAACACTGGGAGGGTTCACAAGAACACTTTCTCATTTCATACTTTCTTCCTATTTAAGAAGATAACTTTTATTTAAGCATCTAGTCACGAAACAAGTGCTCTTTTCACCGCTTGAAATTTCAGGTCAAAAGTGTGATTGGGACAAGCCAATCGAGAGGTTTTTCAAGCAGCCTGAAACATGAAATAAGACTTAGCATTTCCAAAATAAATGAAATCCCTTGCAAAATAAGTTTCTCTCCTCCCCCATGCTAGTTTTCTCTGGAATAAAAACAAGAGCATCAGGCTGGGCAGGACACAGATTTCTACGAAGCAACGCATCCTTTCTCTGGCCAGTTAAGCGGACCTGCGGTCCTTTAGCGCAGCAATTAGGCACGGCATTACCCTGTACGGGGGCACCAACCTC